GCCCCAGGCACTTTATGCAGTATGGCGCCACCTAGCGGCCCTAGCCTAGGCCAGAGGTGGTAAACTAAGATGCTGGCTACCTGGCCCCAGAGAGTAGAACTTCAGTAGGAGTAGATGGTTGGAATGACAAAGAAGCAAATTTAAGTTCCACCTAAAGAAAAATCTAACAATTATAGTTATGCACAATTGGTTCTGCTTAACCATTTTTCTTCCTTACAAGGGAAGGTTCCATTCCAGGGACAAGGGGTGTGCAAGCAGGTGGGGGTATATTCAGAAATATGTAAAAATAAAATACATCAATATCAACAAAACTTACTTTCAAAACAAAACAAAAACAATGATAGCTATCCAGAAGTGAAATGGGTTTCCTTGGGAGCTGGTGACTTTCACATTACAGGTGGTCTTCAAACAGAGGCTGGGGATGCCACTTTTCAGGGATGCTGTAGAGGCCCAGGTAGATGTGCTCTCTGAGAATTCTTCCAGCTTTAAGGTTCTGTGAAGTTATAGGGAGGTTGATTTAGTTTCATACAAGGAATGTCTTCTTACCAATCAGAAATGTTTCCCCTTCCTGAAATCTCTTCATCCTTATGTTTCATTGAGGAGAAGCAGAAAGACATAATTGGGCCTTGAAGTCAGGAGGATCTGGGTTCAGGTCCTGCCCCTGACACACACTGGTTGTGTGGTTCTGGGCAAGTCACTTAATCTCTTAGTAAGACTTTTTAAGTTTTGGTGAAAGTGCTGAGCTACATTGGTAGAGTGAGTTTCCCATACTGAGAAACCACACAGGTCCTATCAACATTCCTGTGCTTTGGACTTACTTAGGATCTCACAGAGTTGAAAAGGATGTTAGAAGTCTCCTAGTCCAATCCCTTCATTTAATTTTTTTTCCAGTCAAATTTTTTGTCCTTGGGAAAGTTATTCCAAATAATGTGATTTTAAATAAGTGAATATTTTTCCCCCATGAACTTTACTGAATATAGTATTAGATTTTTATGAATACAAACTACAAATAACTTGAAAATACTTTACTCAAACTACGATTAAACTCACTTGTAAACTATTTAAATATTAATTACAAAACCTATCCTGCTATGGAGCATTTTCTTCAGCTCTAAATATAACCTCATCCATGTGTGACCAAGAAAATTCAATTCAATTCAGTTCAATAAACATTTATTAAAACTACGTACTACATGCCAGGCACTAAAATAAACATGAAACTAGCAGTTTAGAGAACCATTTGCAATCTGACCTGGATGTAGTGTCAGAAAAATCCCCTTTTGTACATCGTTGTTGGCAATACTTTACCTATTTCATTCATCTGTAGTTAAGAATTTCTGCAAAAAGAATTTTTTTCCCCATTTCTAAAATGCTTATTGTGAAGATCAGGCTAATTAAAATTTTTTACAAGTTTCAAAAGTGTCAAGCAAGAAAAACTGTGGTACAATTTTTAGCTACATGACCCTCTCCCCAAAGTTTGTGGCCTTGATGACTTCATTCATTTCATCCATGCAGCTATGCAAAGCAGCATCTTTCTCTATGGGAAGCTAGGTGGCGCCATAGTGCATAGAGCGCTGGGCCTCCAGGCACTTAATAGTAGGCGCTTAATGTTTATTGACTGACTCAGGCCCCCAGTTACTTGAGCTACCTCTAAGGCTAGCTCATCTCTGCTTTGTGTACCTTGTACATCTCTTATTCATGTGTTGTCCCTCCGTGACATTAGAATGTAAGCTCCTTGAAGGCATGCGCTGGGGTTTTGTGGGTTTGTTTTTTGTTTTTACTTTTTCTTGTATCTCCAGAGCTTCGGATAAGCGCCTGGAACATGAATAAATGCTTGCTGACTAATAATTCATAATAACAAAAATAAGAATAACAATAATAATAACTAGCTCCTAGCACATATGGTCTTGGAAAAAAGTGGCCCCTTCATGAACGAGCGTTGAATGGAACGGAACTGGATGCCTTAATAGGTAGTAAACTCCCCATCACTGGAGGTGTTCAAACGCAGGATAGATGACTTTTCGCAGCAGGAAGAGTGGAACGGACACGTCCAGCGTGCAGGACACCACGGCGAGGAAGGTCGCCACGCACTACAGGGACTCCACCCCACCAACCTCCTCTCCCTCACCAACCCCGTGACAGCCTTCCAGGAAGCCACGCCCCCATCACGAGAGCAGAGGGCCACCCGAGGGGGCGGGGATTCGGATGGGGCGCGCTAGGGTTCCTGGGGGTTGTAGTCCAGCTCGGCCACTTCTGTAGTCTGTGTCTGGTCCTGCGGAACTACGACTTCCGTCGTGCCCCGCGGCCTCGGAGAAGAGAGCTGGTTGGGGGGAGGAGAAAGAGAGGAGGCTGCCGGTGAGCGTTCAGCCTGTTGCTAAGCCTTGAACGAACCTCCGGGCTCGGACTGCTTTCAGGTAAGGTCGAGGAAAACATCTCTCCGGCGGGCGGTAGCGGGGCGTAGATTCCCTGTGGTCTCGAGGCTGGGCTCCGGGAACACGGGTCACGCCACCCTCTTCCTCCAACGCGGCCCCTGCTTGGGCCTGGGCCTGGGTCCCGGCCTGGAGGGTCCTGGGGAGGGGCTAAGGGAGGAGGAGAGGGGAAAAAGGAGAGGGAGAGGGAGAAGGAGGAAGGAAGGAAGGAAGGGGAGGATCAGAGATGGAGAGGAAGAAGGGGAGGGAAAGAAAAAAGAAAGTGAGGAGAGAAAAAGGGAGGAGAAGGGAGGGGAGGGGGAAAGAGAGGGATGGGGGAGGGGATAGAAAGCGTGAAGCGCCTTCTGGAAGGCAGGTTGGCCCGCGGGGCACACACGTGGTTGGGGGGCTGGGCTCACTGGGGGATTCTTCCTTGTTGAGAGGAAGGCGCTCTCCCTGGGGAGCCACCTGAGGAAGCATCTGGGGGGGACATTGTATTTTCTTTCCTTGTGTCTCCCTTCTCTGTCTCTGAAAAATCTCTTTCTTCCGTGGCTGAGCCCTTCCTTTTCCCCACTTTAATCATATCCAACCAACTCCCCCAATGACAGCTGCATGTAAGCTACTCTCGTGTAGGAATTTCTGTTCAGGTACTGGTTGGACTAAATTATTTTTGAGAAGCACCTTCGTACTCCGAGATGCTCTTATCTCCTGTGGGAGGCATGAATGAGTGAAAGGAAAGACATTTACAAAGCTTGTTACATGGCTAGACAATCAGTCAAGCCTGTACGTGCTAAGCTTACATTCTAATGGTAGAGGTTGTTCAGTTGTTTCGGTCTCTTTGTGACCCCGTTTGGGGTTTTCTTGGCAGAGATACTAGAGTGGTTTGCCATTTCCTTCTCTGTCTCATTTTACAGATGAGGAAACTGAGGCAAACAGGGTGAAATGATTTGGCCAGGGTCACACACCTAATATGCATCTGAGGTCAGATTTGAATTCAGGTGTTCCTGACTCCAGGGCCTGCCCTCTGTGCACTCTACCTGCTCCACGGTAGAGATAGCACGTGTATTAGATAGACAGTTGTTTTTATCGAAGTAGGCCATTTTGCAGGTGGTCTATGTAAAGTGATTTTTAAGTAATTTGAATTTACCAGCAGGCAGTGGGAATGAGAGGGAGGAAGGGGGTCTAGCCCTCTTACCCAGAGGTCTCAAGCCAAGCCCCTGCAGTAACTGTGGTCTCTCCTGTGTAGGTTCTTTTGCTTTCACTTGGAGGGTTTTTTAAGTTTTTTTTCTTTTTTGGCGGGGTTGGTGAGAGGCCACAGAGCACCAAGTGGGGTATGGGGGGCAGGGGGAGACCCAGTACTATGCAGTAAAGTTAATGTAGACTTTTTTTTTTGGAATGCAGAATTTTTTACTTAAAAGCCAAATTGTGTAATGCAAATTTAGGTAAATTGGGTGCTAAACATACAAAGTTCTGGAGAGGTTGAGGACACATAAAAGATTATGAATCGCTGGCCTAGAGGAAGGACTCCAAGACGTTGGGTAGATCTGCTCTGGGAGCTTGTGGGCAGGAATCCCAGGATGGCTAGGTGTGTGTGGATGGTTTGTGTGTGTGTGTATCATTCTCACCTCCATCCTCCCTATTCCCCCATTAACTGTAGGCTTTATGAGGGCAGGGCCTGGGACTTTACTTTGTCTCTCCTTCTGCGAAGTACTCACTGTAGTGTATTTGCTTAATTGGTGTTTGTCAAGTAAGGTAGAGTTAACAACAGTGAAATAGAACCTTTCATTTGCATCAGTAGGTAGTGAGTTCCCTGTCACTGGTGATTTTCCTGTGGAGGCTGAATGATTGCTTCTGCTCCATGGTTGTAGAGGGCATTTCTGCTGTGGAGTGGGAGGTAGGACCATTGGCACTTGAAAGCACATCTAGGCCCAGCCCCTCATTTACAGAAGAAAAACAGGCCCCTGGAGGTTAAGGAACTTGCCTGCCTTTAGGTTACTCAGGTAGTTAAAGTCCTAGAGATGGAATTTGAACTTGAGACATCTGATTTCCAAGGCAGTGATCTTAACCCCTGTACCATTTAAGCTGGAAGAGACTTTAAGTTACTAGGTTAACCTCTTTATTTAAATGAGGCCCAGGGTGGCTAAGTTAATTTGCCTGCACTCACACAGGCTCTAAGTGGCCACACCAGGACTCCTGCCCTCTCTTTCCACTGTATGGCTGCCTCAAACGAAATGACTTGCCCACAGCTTCACTCCCCTCATATCTGAGTTTCCAACCAGTGATTAGGGTTGCAGGTTGATGAAATTAAGCAAAACTAAGTAGCCTGCATGGTATGAGGCCATCTAGTTTCAAAAGTGACAGCACCAGAGCCAGCTGGAAAATCCAGGAGCATGGAAATATACAGATGTGGGTGTGCAGTGACAGCTCTGCTGGTGAGCAGGGGAATTGGTGCAGTGGGCAGGTTAGTGAGGTGGTGACAGACACAAGTAGCTGGGTCAGTAGGCGGTTTTCTAACCAAGTTTGACCTAATTAGAACACATGTTTAGGGTGTTAAGTTTGACTGTATTCTTCTGACTTGTCTCCCTCTAGGACTGCAGTTGTGTTCCTAGTTAGTATATTGGCCAGTGTACCCCTGACACAGGACATACAGGGGGACTTTGCTTCCACCACCGGAAGGTGAGTTTTCTCAGGCAGTGTGGCTTGATGGAAAGTCAGAACTGGGAGTTAAATGGGGGTTCTTTAGACTATTCACTGGGGGGCCGAGAGGAGGGAGCAAAGCCAAGTGCAGAGGATATTTATCAGAACAAAGATGCCAGTTACATTCACCTGGGAGCCTGAAAGGGGAGCACCGCACTTCTTCAACTTATTTGTAAGAAACAGATGAGACCGCCAGTGGGTCTCTCATGTTTGTTTATTTTTTTTTAACTTGGGGGAAGACATTAACATTCTGCTAGAGACAAACAAGGGTGTTTTTGTGTTTTGAGTTGGAGACAGTGGCTGCTTTCATGGAGCCTAGGCCCGATTTTGTGTACCAGGGGAATCATGTGATAGGGAATAGATGGTATTCCATCTTCTTCTATCAGCTAGAGAGAAACTTGGATTTCAGACCAAGCCCTGTACCCTGCACAAGTAGCAATAGCTAATTTGATCGTTTCTATAGCTGTAGAGGCAGTGTGGAATAGTTGGGGAGAGGGCTGGAGTGACATTTAGCAGTCTGCTCCTTGGATGCCGTAAGAGGACTAGAAGTTACAGACTCACTGTCTTGGCAGAGGTATTCCTGCACTGAAAAAAGAAATCAGAAAAAAATACTGTAAATGATATAGATTATAGAGATCAAAATATAGTATAACAATAGCTAACATTTATGTTATGCTTTAAGGCTTGCAAAGTGCTTTGCATATTTTATCATATTTGATCCCTATGACCACCCTGCTGTTGTTATCCCCATTTTATTTATTTATTTTGCTTTTTGGCTAGGCGGTGGGGTTAAGTGACTTACCCAGGGTCACACAGCTAGTAAGTGTTATGTATCTGAGGCCACATTTGAACTCAGATTCTCCTGACTCCAAGGCTGGAGCACTATCCGCTGTGCTACCTAGCTACCCCTGTTATCCCCATTTTACAGATTCAGAAACTGAGGCAAGTGAAGACCTGAGATGGGATTCAAACTTGAGTCTTTCTGACTCAAGTCCAGCCTCCTGTCCACTTTGCCTCCTAGCCACCTGGAGTGAATAAATCAGTCATGCCTTTCTAGCATTTCCAGTAGCTTGCCGAGTATGGAAGTGATTCACCACAGTGTGAGGGTTTTCAGTCTGGAACTAGGCATTACAACAAGGACTTTGCAGACGTATTGGTGAGGGGAGAATCAGAAGCACTTAACTGAGTTCGTCTCTTAATTTCTAACATCTTTCCAAGTAGTTAGAGGCAGTAGAAACGTTCTTCATTTCTAACACCAATTGAGAGGGGTAGATTTTGACTTAATATCTTCCTAACAAATAAGACCTCTGTAACAGAATGAACCAGTTTGTTAGATGTGGAGAGGTGTTGAAGTGCTGAAGCTGAATGTTGGCCTAGTCATATAACCTTTGCAGGCCTTGATTTTCTCGTCTCTTAAATGAAAGGGTTAGATGATACGATCTCTAGGCTCCTCGCCGGCTCCCAAACTGTGATCCTTCTAAGTTCTTTTTGCTGAGGTTTTTTTTTCTTTTTGAAAAATCTTAATATTTTTATTTACACTCTTTTTTTTTTGAGGCAGCTGGTGGGTAGCTCTGAGGAGAGAGCAGTGGGCCTGGAGTTAGGAAGACTTAAGTTTAAATCCAGCCTCAGTCACTTATTAACTGTGTGACCCTTACCTACTACCTTCCTTCCTAGTCTATAAAACCAAACTGAAAAGTCCCCCCTCTTAGCCTGTCAAGTCACTGAGATTGTTTTCCCTTATTAACTTGGGTTTTTTCCCCTCTATTAATGCTTTCTATTTATCCTGTCCATAGCTTGCTTTGTTTTTATTTGTTTTCATGTTGGGTACCCCCTTTCCTTTTTAGATTATAAGCTCCTTGAGAGCAAGGACTGCCTTTTGCCTCTTTGCATTCTCAGCACTGTGCACAGTGCATGGCACATAGTAGGTGCTTAATTAAAATTCATTGAATTCGACCTCACATAGCACCTTGCCAGTCTAATGCACTTATCATATAGTGTCATGTCTTCTAGCTCTCTGTGAGAGACAGCATGGTATAGTGGATGGAGTTGGGGTCTGGGTCAGCAAGACCTGGGTTTAAGTCCTACCTTGGGGACCTACTGGCTGTGTGTGATCCTGGGCAAGTCATTTCACTTCTCAGGACCTGACCCTCCGCACCCCCTTCTTCCCTCTCTCCTCTTCCCCCACCCCCCAGATCGGTAACTGTTCTGAAGTTTATAGCCTTAGAAAGTTGCTTGGGGGATGTGGGGAGGGCCTGTGGCAGGCAGGCACAGGGTTCTCTGACCGGGAGCCCATGCTACCAGTAAAGTCGGAGATGAAATCTATTCAGACCAAAAAGAGGTTTGTGTCTTCTTCCTGTTTTAGACTGTAATCCATTAGGGCAGATAGCCTGCCTTAGCACAATCTAATCGTTTAAATAAATGAATTGAATAAGAGCTCAAATCTGTTGATTTAAGATCTACAAATTAATAAATGATTTTTTTTATGAAATATGATTGTACTCTGGGCGTTTTTTTCTGAAAAATGAGTAATTATGGTGAGGGCACATACTATGGAGTGGTTTATAATTGTCATAAAGCTTCACTCAAGGGGTGAGATTTCCAGTCTTTGCTTAGTAGTGACTTGAGGCCTCCTTTCTCTTTCTCTCTCTTTTAAAAAAAAATTTTTTTTGGTCTCTTTTTTTGGTGAGGCAGTCGGGGCTAAGTGACTTGCCCAGGGTCACACAGCTAGTAAGAAGCCAGATTTGAACTCAGGTCCTCCTGACTCCAAGGCCGGAGCTCTGTCTACTGCCCCTTGAGGCCTCCTTTCTCATAAGGAATTACGGCATTTCAGCAGTGGAAGGGCATCCCCCCTACTCTATCCCTGCATAACCTAAGAGGTCCTTCAGCCTAGTTGGAGCACTCCCAACCAGAGGGCACATGCTACCTCTCATTGCCGCCCACTGCTCTTTTCTCTAATTAGGAATTACACATTAGGAGAATTTTCTTAACATCCAACTTAATTTTGCTTCTTTGTAACTTTCATCCGTAACTCCCCGTTCTGCCCTTTGGTCCCAGGCTGGACAAGTCTGAGTGATCTCCCATTCGCAGGACAGGGTTTGAGATGCTTGGAGGCAGCTGTTGTATTCTCCCTGAATTTTCTCTAGTTCATTCTAAACATGCTTTGTTTCCTCAAGCATTTCTTATGTGGCGTGGGTGCAGACCCCTTCTCTGTCCTAGATGCTCTTCTCTGGACACAATCCATTCATCAGCCCCACCCCAGCTGGTGCCCCGAGCCGACCACATGTGGTCTGACTGACGCATAGGACAGAGGAAGTGTTGCCTGGCCTCTCTGGCTGCCAGGCCACAGAGACGACTCATGCTGCACTTTGCCGATACCCCAGATCTCCAGGTCTTTGTCCAGCAGATTGCTCTCTCACCCAAAATGCTGTGTGGTCAGGCTTCTTGAGGCCACGTGGGAGGCTTTACGTTTGCCCCTGTAAAATTGGATCTCATTTAGTCTGGCTGCACGTTTTTAGTCTGCCCAGGTCATCGTAGATATTGTCTTGGTCATCAAGTTGGTTCCCTACCTGCCACCTCTGTTGTCAGCAGACTTGACACATCTATCACCTTACCTCGAGTTGGGGTTCTTCGCCTTTTGGGTGTCCTGGGCCCCTTTGGTAGTCAGTCTGGTCAGCCTAAGGACCCTTTAGAAAATAAGGTTTATATAATACAGAGAATTACAGAGGAAACCAATTCTATTGAAATAGTTGTCAAAAAAAATTTTTTTTTAAGTACGGACCTCAGGTGAAGAATGCCAGAAAATCACTAATAAAAATGTTAAACAGCCTAGGCCCAAGCACAGATCCCTGGTGCCCTGCCAGCGTGCTTGGAAGTTGACAGGAAGCCATTAATGATTTTTCTTTGGATATATATATATAGCCAGTCAGTTTAGAATCCTTCTTACTGTACAGTCTCATTGAGATTACACCTCTCCATCTTGTTCCCAAGGATAGCAGAAGAGACTTTTGTCATATGTTTTGCTTAAGTCTCAACCGTATACCTAGCATTCCCCTGAGCTACCAGCTTAGTAACCCTGTCAAAAAAGGAAATACAGTTAGCCGAGCATGACCTGTCTTAGTGGAGCCCTGCTGGCTCTTTTCAATCCTTGCTTCCTTTTTTTATTTTTAGATGTGATGTTCGCCAGCTCTCTCTCTAATAAGACCCTAGAATATTGCCAGGAATCAGGCTTAAGATTGCTGGCCTCTGGTTTATAGTTCCATTCTCTTCTGTTTTTTTTTTTTAAATCATGCTCTTCTCCAGCCCAGTGGACCTCCCTGTTCTCTCCCATGTTTCAGAGATCTCTGGCTCTGGCTCAGCCATCACACCCGCCAGTTCCTTCAGAGTCCAGGGACGCAGTTTATTTGGGGCTGGTCGATTGAACTCAACACAGGCATCTTTGAGGGGCTCTCGTAGGACCTCCTCAACTCCCTGTTAGTCGCTTTGATTCTGTCCTCTCTAGTCCAGCGTCTCTTCTCACTGGCAGAGAAACCAGATCCAGAATTAGAGTTGAGCGTCCTTGCCTTCTCTTACTTGCTTGTTAGTTATTGTTATTGTTGTCCCGTCTGGCCTGAGCAGCAGTCCTGCTCCTGCCTTGGACCTTCTCTTGTCCTTAGCAGAGTTGAGAAAGCCGCTTTCTGTTGTCCTCATTTTCCTTGCTGTGTAGCAGTAGCTCATTCTGAGCTTTGTCACTACTCACATTATTCTAAAATACCATGCCACGCTTTTTGTATCCTTACCTACCCATGATTGCATTGGTATAGGTGGAGGGACTAGAATTTGATTGTGTGATTAAAAAAAAAAACAACAAACATGTAGGATAACAAATTTAGAGCTGGAAGAGACGTTGTAGGCCACTGAGTCCAATCCCCTTATTTTACAGATGAAGAAACTGAGGCCCAGAGAAGTTAAGTGAGTTGCCCGGGTCATATAGCTAAAAAATA